ATTGAAAACAAAAATTAACCCTACAAATCCATTTTCCTATTCCTATCTGGTTGGTTATTACTAATCAAGCAGTTAAAAGTTTGTCTTTAGACCATCTCTCCTTAAGTCTTATGATGACCTTGCCCATCAATCCCTCAAACTGTCTTATTACCAAACTCCCAGAATAGGTCCTTTCTCTTTAGAGAGCCTAATAGAGACCCTCTCTCTTTAACAAAACAATAGTGACACTATTGTTTATTCAGGCCATTGACATAGCGTACTATACTACGTGCTTCATATCTAATGCCTTTAATCCAATTTTTTTTTCAAAGATAATCTAGTTTGGGGGCACCTGGGTAGCTCAGTTGGTTAAGCATCCGACTTCAGCTCAGGTCATGATCTCTTGGTTTGTGAGTCTGAGCCCCGCATTGGGCTCTGTGCTGACAGCAAAAAGCCTGGAGCCTGCTTCAGATTCTGTGTCTCCCTCTCTCTCTGACCCTCCCCCGCTCACACTCTGTCTCTCTCCTTCTCTCAAAAATAAATAAACATTACAAAAATTTTTTTAAAGTTAACCTAGTCTTAAAAATTATATAAGGTAGGCATTGTCATTTCCACCTTCCACAAGGCAAAATGAGGACCAAATGCTCAATGTCTCACCATTTGGTCGTGTAGCCTGAATTCAAAGACAAGTAAGTCTCTTTAGTTCAGTGGAATTCTCTGTCCATCACTCTGCTCAGCCCTTCCTGAAGGCAGTTTACTGACTTTTTTATTAAAGGATGGACAGTCAGGATGCAAAATGCCCCTGCAACCTTTTTTTTTTTTTTTTTTTTTTTAATCACCTTGGCCAGACCTTTCAAAGCACTGCCTACTGTCAATCCACGAAATCTCCTGTGTCCTTAGAGGTGTGACAGCCAGGAGGAGGAGCTCCTGAACCACCCTTGCCCAAAGGCCACCGGAAACAAGGCTGGACAGCGGACACACTTACCAGTGTGCTTCCGGCTGTGCATCTGTAAGTGTGACAGCTTAAAATATCTCTTATTGCAGCCCGGGTAAGCACACATGAAGGGGCGTTTCTCACTGGTCTCCGACGCCGACCGGACAAGAGTCGGGGCAACTCCGGGCACACGTCGCACATCCTGTAGGCAGAGTGTAAGAGAAATGGAGGCTTTAAGCCACATGTGAACATTCGTGTCAGTCCTGAGGGAAAGTGAGCTTTAGATTAAACCTTAGGAAGGGATGGCAGATATTAAAAGCTAAAACCACTCCCATGCATACCCCAGATACCCACAGCAAGCATCACTAATGGGTGACAGAGCAGGGCATTCTACAGTGCAATACTTCAACGTCCTCACTATTGATCAGCCAGAATCAGTACTTCATCTGTCTGTTTGGGGACGCTGATCCAGAGGATCTGGCAAAGAAATGCTGGTGCTACAAGAGCTCCCAATCCATCCCATCCCTCAGCTTCTCCACTTGAGGCAGTGAGGTCTGGAAGTCCCAAGTCCCAGGTTCTATTCTACTTCCTCCCATTTGGACACATGGCCACACGACCTCAGGCCCCACCTGCAACAGGTAGGGAAGTCCTGATTAGAGAGAAATATGGGATACTAAATGCACCCCAAGCTGACCACACTTTCCATGTGGGAGTAGATGACAAGGAAGGAGGAGCCCCTGAGATTTGAGGGTTCTCTTTGTGAAGGGGCTAAAACCACCAAAGGCCAATGGTGTAGCCAGTGTAAACATTTAGTAATACCACCAGAAAACACTGTCTGCCTTCTGTGCACTTTACATGTCCTTCATTGTTTATTCCCTTGATCTTGTGGGAGTGGGTAGGTGAATGGTCAGTCCTTCATGACAAGGTGCTAAAAGGACACAGTGAGGCAAATTTTTCCTGCTCTCAGGATCAATGACCCCTAGACAGGAGCAGTGGGAGTGCCCCGGGGGCCACTGAATCCTCCTCACTCTCTTACAGATGTGCAAAAGTCAAGACCAAAGAACACATCTATGTTTTAAGACCTGGAACTGCCTCTGAGCTTAACCCATCCCCTGCTCTGTGCATTTTCCACACCATGCTTATGTTCTAGTTTCTATTTCACACTGCCTTGCACTGTGAGAGCTTCTTTTTTGAAGGAAAAGTACTTAGTGACATACAACTTTGCTGTTGACGGGCCACAGTGTCTCAAGGCAAATGGTGGCGTAAATTTAAATGGTGAGCCGGCTACGTTTGAACGGTAGACTCTAGGAGAAAATGAGTCGGTAGTGAAACAGCACCTGTGAGATCTGGAGTATATCAGCAGCCATGACAGCGAGTCTGACAAACCGGGCTTTGTGGAAAGAAAGACAAATGGAGCTTCCTTCACTTCCTTTAATTCAATCTAGATGCAGCGCACACAGCACTGGGATATAAAACTGAGTTGTCAATGTCAGTCAAGGGTCCCGGTGGAGGATTCCGGTGGTATTTGTTGAAGGAGAGACTGGGATGACTCTTCCCATACTTCCATCAGATTTCCGTATTTCTGCAATCCTCGGCTTTATTCTCACCCCTGGAAGGTTTGGGCTGAGGGCACATGCTGTTCTGTCACCATGATGCTTCTGGAAACATCAGTCAGAACATCTCAGAGCTACCTGCCCCACACGTCATGTGGGGACCTGGGTCACACACAACTTTTTTCTAGAGTACTGACTATGCTGGTGAAGTATAACCACAGTTACTCATGTTACAGCCACGGAGTCACAAGTGAAAGCCACACACGCAAACCCTTGGTCACTGCGTGTGGTTCTGACCTCCCCAAAGAGGCTCTGCTGAGGTGGCCTTCCATTGACTTCCCTGAATTCTCCAGAATGTTTACCTTTTTACTTTTCTTTCCTCACTCTCCTTGGAGACCCCTCTCCTCCAAACTGTTCACAGCCCCCTGTTTCCCTAAGCAATGCAACGTGGTAGTTAAAAACAGGGGCTCTGGAGTCAGGCGAAGCTTGCTTTATAAGTAGTTATGTGATTGTGGACAAGCCACTTGTCTCTGGCCTTCAGTCTCCTCATCCATAAAGTGGAGATAATAATACCTACCTCATAGAGGTGCACTAAGGATTAAATGGAAAAAGAAAGTTTAAGTATAGAACCTTAAATGCCTACTGCTAAGTGGCAGAAGTGAGTCTGAACTGTGTGATTCCAACTATATGACATTTGGGGGAAAGGTGAAACTACAGACACAATGAAAAGATCAGTGGCTGTCCGGGGGAGGGGAAGAAGGGGGGACGGATGAGTAGGTAAACATAGACATTTTTATTTTTAGGCAGTGAAACTATTCTGTGCAATAATGTAACGGTAGACCCGTGACATGACACATTTAACAAAACCCATGGAACCACACAATGCAAAAAGTCAACCCTAGTGTAAACTATGGACTTTCATTAACAATAACACACCAATACTGGCTCATCAATTGTAACAAGTGTACCACACCAATGCAAGATATTAACAATAGGGAAGACTGTGGGGGAGGGTCGGAATGAGGGAGAATATGGGAACTCTGTACTTTCTGCACAATTTTTCCTTAAACCTAAAGCTGCTCCAAAAATTAAGTCTATTAAGACAAAAAGCCCATTACAAAAGTCAGCACAGTGCCTGGCACATAGAAAGGGGGCAGCACCCACAGAGTGGGCGCCATTACCATCATTATGGTTAGTAGAACACTCGGCAAGGCAGAGCCTACCTTTGGGCACTTTACAATGCAGACCAATTCAAGGGTCTGACTTGGGAAGTCAGGAGTCCAGGTCATTAGTTACAAGAGCCGCAAGCCCACCTGGAGGAGTGAATTAAGCAGTGAAGGGGGAAGGGACGGGATTCTGCCAGAAGCATCTTGGTCTGAGTCAGGGAGATGACCGTGTTCACAATGACCTGTGGACAGGAGGCTGCCCTCTCTGCCCAGTGGGAGAGGAGAGGTCTTTATTGTCAGAGGAGCCTATAATTAAGAACAGACTTACCAGGGCCAAATGGCCATCAGCAAGCAAGTAAAAGGCTGTTGAGAAGGAAAAGAGGCATTGACGTTCCCTTCCAGCCAGCCCCCTTCCCCTCGACCCAAGTTCTCACCTGAATGCCCCTAAAGACGCCATGAGTGTGTATTCTGTACTGGGCACCGCAGAGGATGGGCGTGGTGTGGTTATCACTCTCATACCCTGTGCCGTGGCTGCAAACACAAACAGGGAAGAACAAGTCTCAGGTCGGTCCACAGGCACCCTTTAGAAATGCGCGTCTGCAGCAGAAGAATGTTTTTAAAAAGCTCACAGGACAACAGCCATTGGTTTTTGCGTCCTTCGCTGCTCTGGAAGCAGGGCTTTGTGAAGGGCAGGGGGCTCTTCAACCCTTGCATCACCACCACGCGGCCCTCCCTTGTGCTCAGGGAGGCCATCTGTGTCTATGCCTCTCAGACAAGCTGGGAAAAGTCACAATGGCTTTCATCCCCAGCAAGTTGTTTACCATCTAGCCAGCAGAACAGACAGCTGCGAATGTCTCCGGAATGAGCAGATACCTCAAGTTTCACATTAAGTTCAATGGATTTTTGCTGGCACCTCGTGACTCAGTTTTTACCAGATAGCCCCGAGAAAGTGATGACACAGAAGAAATGTCACATTCTCAGAAGTGGGGATTACACATCAGTGACCCTTCTCCACTTAACGGACAGATAAGTTTTCCAGATCAACTTAACTCTTTGCAGCCAACCCGTGCCGTAAGCGGACACTGGATAATCTTCCCTAGCATTAGATTGCCTAGTCCTCTAGTTGGTGCTCAGGCTAATCCTGGCCTTCCAGCAAGGGCTGAGGGATGTGGAACATTGAAATGAACAGCTTGAGAGAAGCGAATACTCTGAAAGTATTTTCTCCTTTAGGTCAAAGCTGGTATCTGTTCTGCAGTTATTTTACTTCCAAATGAGGCAGAGTAAAGATTCTTATCTACATGGGCAGGACATTATAATCACATCTAGAATCACCACAAGGAGCTTCTATGAAATATCTCTGTGAAATGGTACAGTTGCTTTGGAAAACATCTGGCAGTTACTCAAAAGATTAGACATAAAGTTACAATCTGACCCAGAAATTCCACTTCTAGGTATATTCCCAGGAGACATGAAAACATGTATCTACACATAAACATGTACACATTGTGGATTAGCAGTATGATTCATAATAGCCAAAAGATGGAATCAACCCAAATGTCTCTCAGCTGATGAATGGATGAACGTAGTATATTCCTAAACTGGAATATTATTTGGCGATAAAAAGGTGGGAAGTACTGATACGTGATAATGTGGACAAGCCCTGAAAACACGCTAAGTGAAAGGAGCCAGCCACAAAGGGCACACCTATTGTGTGCATCCATTTAAATTTTTTTTAATGTTTTTGATTTATTTTTGAGACAGAGACAGAGCATGAGCAGGGGAGGGGCAGAGAGAGAGGGAGACACAGAATCCAAAGCAGGCTCCAGGCTCTGAGCTGTCAGCACAGAGCCCGACACAGGGCTCAAACCCACAAACCAAGAGATCATGACCTGGGCCAAAGTTGGACGCTCAACCGACTGAGCCACCCAGGCGCCCCAGTGTGTGCATCCATTTAAACAAAATGTCCAGAATAGGCAAATTTATAGAGACAGAAAGTGGTTTGGTGATTGACTGCCTAGGACTGGGGAAGCTGAGGGAAATGGGAGAGTGATTGCTGAAAATGTCCTAGAACTGTGGGAGCGGTTGTACAACTCTGTGAATATACTAAAAACCACTGATGTCTCTACTCCAAACGAGTGGACTGTATGGTATGTGGAATTTATAAAACTGCTTTACAAAATTAGCTTGGGGAATAATGAGGTCCATGTACAGTCTTTTTCCCCCCAAGCCGCCAGGTGTAATTAACTCGCTGTCAGGGCTGAGAGCCTCCACCCTCTGCCTGTGTTACTCTAGAGATGCCAGGGGTCCCAGTGTGGGAGGCAGGCAGCTTGGCTGATCAGCCCACTCCATCTGAGGGTGTGGGGAAAACCTGGGGCTGGCTCAACTCCCACTTCCACGGGGGAGAGAACTCCTGGAGAGAAAGGGTGTTTGCCAGGATGACTGACATGGTCCGCACATCCCGCAGCCACAGCAGCTGTGGAATTTCATGTTTCATTCTGGCTCCAAGCTTTTTAGAAAGAATTGCCTGTCTCCCTTGCATAGATAGTGAGAGCAGTTTCAGGAACTGGGTGGCAGTTTACAGTTATACTGTAAAGGCAGTGGGGATGGAAGAACTGATGACAGTGGTGATGTGGTAGCAGAAAGAGGACAGGACAAGAACGATGTGGCCAGAACATTTTGCCTTGAAGGCCATGAAGACATGCTGCCTCTGTGTGGCTTCATCATCTGTATGGAGCCAAAATGTGACTTACACATTTTCTGGGGCTGAGGGCTCTCTAGGGACACAATACAAATCTGAATTATTTTTAAGTTCTATCAAAGAGGAAGAATTAGGAATCTGTTGTCTTAGCAGCTGATCTCTGGATGTCACTTGGGTTCCTGGAGGGTGTGAGAAATAGATTTTCCTCAAAATACTTGTTCCAGGAAATGAAGTGCTATACTACTCAAAGGTAACCTCATAGCCAGATATAAGCCAACACACCGAAGAAGCAACCAGAGAGGTGCCTGGGTGGCTCAGTCGGTAAAGTACCCAACTGTTATTTTCAGTTCAGGTCATGATCTCACGTTTGTGGACTCGAGCCCCGCCCCGCATTGGGCTCCAGGCTGACAGCACAGAGCCCCTCTTGGGATTCTCTATCTCTGCCCCTCCCCCACTTGCACACTCCCTCTCTCTCTCTCTCTCTCAAAAATAAATAAATAAACTTAAGGGGGGAAAAAAAAAAGAAGAAGCAACCAGAAACAAGACTGTACCTGCCTAATAAACCCCTAGGTTCTTCTATCAAGTCCATGAATAAAAACTACAGCTGGGTCCTGCCTACTGGCTTTGGTGTTTCCAAAAGACAAACAACACATCAATGTAATTCCACACTGTGGAAACCCTACAAAGCTCTTTCCAGTGTGGTCTGCCCAGAACACTAAGTATAACGCACAGGTATTTACTATGGTGACAACTCTCTCTGGATAAGTAAAGGAAATCAGGTCAGTGGGTTTGGGACTGTATACTAACAGAGGGAGAAAAGGTATCTACTCCAACCCTCATTTCAAAGCCCTTCTAGCTCATCAACAGTTGCACAACACGACTGGTGGCGAATTTTTAAAGAATCCCATTCCATTTGGGGAGTGCTTTAATTGTGAAGAAAGGCCTTTCTGAGCCAAGCAGAAATCTGCCGCCTCCTTTCTGTCTTCTGGAGAACCACAGAGTCTTAGTGTTTTACAGCCAACCCTGCGTGTCTCCTCTGCTCTATGGTAAACTTGGCCTTGAAAACAGACCAGCTTGCCCCTCTCTGTATCCTCTCAGCTGGGTGACTGAAGTTAAGGCACAGAGTCCATAATGTCCCATGAGATGGATGGAATCTAACTCCTCTTCCACATGACAGTCCTTCAAATATTTGAAGACAGCTTTCCAGGGTACAGAGCTGAGGTTCTCTCAATGATCATAACAAACTGGTATCCAATTCCTTTCGTGTCTGTATCATCCACCTCTTGATTCCCTTCCTTTTGTAACATCTCTCTCAAAGCATGGGCTTAAAATGGATCCCAGTGCCCCCAGAAGAGTGGGGAAGGAGGACCATCCATAAACACAAAAAGTTTAAGAATTATGAAAATAACATAAACGCGTAAGGCCAGAGAGTACATGCCTCAGCCAAAGAGATTCCATTGCAAATTTCTGAAAATCAGTATGCTAGTCAAACACAACACAATCAATGCGTTAGGCCCATAGGCTATCCGGACTCAATGAACGCATCTAAGGCGACATCGCTTCTAGCATTCAGGTCACAGTGGTCTTCCCCACTCAAACAGAATCCTCATCGTCCACAACAGCAAGAACTGCAAGTAAGGCACATGTCTCCCACCTTGAGCTTGAAGACATGATTTTTTTAAATTCAGTTCAAAACTACACAGTTATCCTTCAAATTCCATTTTATTTCTTTTAGGAAATATTTAGGAAGTATTTCCAACTGTTGAAATCTTTTTGACTCAATTTGGCTTCCAAAACATTGGCTTTCCATCCCATTTCATATTTCCTCTACCTTTGAAAAATCACCTTTTCTGTGTTTCCACTTAAAAAAAAAAAGGATTGGGGTTCCTTGGTGGCTCAGTCAGTTAAGCATCTGACTTCGGCTCAGGTCATGATCTCACAGCTTGTGAGTTCAAGCCCCACGTCAAGCTCTGAGCTGACAGCTCAGAGCCTGGAGTCTGCTTTGGATTCTTTGTCTCCCTCTCTCTGCCCCTTCCCAGCTCACACTCTGTGTTTCTCTCTCTCTCTCAAAAATAAATAAACATTAAATTATTTTTTAATTAAAAAAAAAAGGATCTTCCTTATTGTTGTGGGGAACTATTATATTTACAATATATATACTATACTTGTTCTCTGGTATTCAGGAAATGGTAAGATTGTAAAAAGTCTGTCCATGCAGCAACCTGAGGGAAGCCATCACAGAGAATCTAGTCATTTGGATGGGCAAATGTCATCAGTGGGAGTTAATCTGAGGCAGAAATGGAACAGTCACCACCATTAAGACCCAGCCGGTAGCTTAGATGGTCAGGTAATGCCAAGCTTTTCCCTGAGAGAATTATCCTTAAAAAGTTCCAGTGACTAAGCCGTAAATGAACTAAATAGGAGTGAGGGTAGGGTTCTTAGAGGTCTGGAGCCATAAAGTCTTCCAAGAAGAGCAAGGAGCTATCTGCCTAGTGAAGAGATTTCTGGAGCCAAAGATGCACCTTCCAAATAAAGCATTCACAAAGCCCTGGATAGTATGGGGTAAAAATTTATCGGGACTTGGAGACAAGAATGTTATCATTCATGGAGCAACTCCAGAGTGGAGAGTGAATCCCACCAGATCAAGCAATCGAGAGACCTAAATCTCTCATAGGGTAGAAATATATGCAGTGGCTAGACCTCCCCTCCAACCCAGACAGTGAGGAAGAAAGTAAGAACTCTGCTCTACCAGCCGAGGACTGGCAATCATACGAACCCAGTGTTGTCAGATCTTTCCATTCTCCAGAAAGTCAGAAACCAAGATCTTTATGTG